GTATCGTTTTTCACTCTGAGTTTTCTAAACCGGCTTCCTGAAACAGGGCCCAGGTCTTCAAGTATAACTGCATAACGGGTTAACAGAAACAATAGTGGGAACCGGTGCTTAGTATCAGGAACGCTTATGAAAATCGGTCTTAGTAAATGTGAGCACAGTTTGTAACTGCTCTCCAATTAAAGATCCTGCACATCATACACACACATGACTGCCAGGTGCAGTGCTTTCCATCATCTCAACACACTCTTTTCACTTGTTGGTATATTTCATCTCTATCATTAACCACGCTAATCTGCTGGACATCCTTTCTACCTTGTCTTGACTAGCCAGTTGTTACAAGCCCCATTTTCTTTTCTTAGTGTGCAGCCTCACATACAACTCATTATAAACCATTTCCTTTCATAAGCGCTCTCTTTGCTGTATGACAAGCTCCCAGAACTCAGGTCTTTCTTCACCTTGGATACTTTCCTGTAGTTCTTCTTTTCACAACAAGTCTACTTGTTGTTTGGAAACTATCCAGAGGATACATTCTGCGCAGTTTTCCCAGACATCTGATAACCCTTGCCTTCCACCCAGAGCTATCTTAAATCCTCTCTGAACTCTGTGCAACATTCTTTGCTCTTCAACTTCAGCGACTCATCTGCCTAGCTACATTCTCACCTGCCACTACCTTGCAGACTCCCATTTCCTTCAAACTGCACATTTTATACACTTTTATACATCCCTCTATGTTCCTCCCTCTTCTTGAAGTACGTGTTCACCACAGCCATTTGCATCATTTTTCACAATATCATAACAGTTGACACACGGCTTTGGAGTGACTGGAAAAACTTTGCATAACTCTTGCATAGTGCACAGTATCTAGGCTTACTTAACCACATATATAGGTTTATGCAGTCTCTAGCCTTCAAAGGCAAACTGGTAATAGTAAACATTCAGGTTGAGCAGCAAACTGTTCAAGGACGGTGTTGTGCCAAAAAGTGATTGCCTGCCAAAAAGTGATTTCCAATGTTTCCGTGTACTTTTTATGTGTAATATCTTTACGTATGTTCGTAAACAGACTTCGGTGAACAGGGTTTACAAAGGGGTTATATATAGAATTTAAAAATTATCTGTTTTTCAAGTATCTTTACAACTCTGTGTCATTGTACTTATATTATAACCAATTTGGTCGTTTATCCCCACTTAAAATATTTTTACAGAACTATTGTAATATTTGCTGCCATTTCTGTTGTCCTCTTGGCCAGCTTACTCTTACAAAAGACATTTTTAATGTTAATGACATTTTTTTAACTGCATAAATAAAGGTTACGTAAAAGTCACTGCCAAAAACTGATTGCGGCTTCTACCTTCTTACACTAATGTTGTTTGTGGCTCAAGATGACTTTATGTCATCCATAAGGGATGCATTTGACATATGTTTCACATATTATAGGCCAACACTTATAGCAGTTTAAATACCGGAAATCACTTTTTGGCAGAACAACTGCTGTACTGTACAACAACTGTTGTATTGTACAACAACGGCGTACAATTCACTCGCGAACCTCATTTATTTTCACCCTCACCCGCAGACTCTGCGTGCTCTGTCTGACACCACTTACACAGATAAATGCGCAGGTGCAGCGTCTATCATCAAATTCTACCGTCACAAAGGTTTAGTCATCAGTTTTCTGTGAAGTAAAAGCCGCTTGAGTGTTTTACAGAAGCTCTCACCTGACTTCGGGTAGGTAACAGCCAGGACGTCGTCGTCTTCAAACTTGAATCCCTGAGCAAACTCCAAACTCTCATAAGAGTGAGTTTCCTTGGGCACAATCAGTCCGTGATAGTGCAGGTACATCTCCTCGGAAATCGACATTTTTCGAAGTATGCAGAGAAAGTGTAGCTGTCAGTAACCGTCGTACTTCCCCGCCACGTTCACGTACGGTGGGAAATCACAGAGGA